CCACACCCGCAATGAGCATGCAAGCGTGCCACTCAACTGACCTCTTGGAGATACACTAGCAACTAGCAGGCACCAAGCAGGGCTGGGGGCCTCTGCTTTCCATGAGGCATGCACCCCATGGAGCAGCTGGGGATTTGGGCTGATGCTGTTACCTTCATTCAGTGAAGTGGAGAACACCCCTGGTCTCTGAGAGCAGCAGAAATGAGGCTCTGCTCCTTGTACCTACGTGAAATAATCTCTGTCAATAGAGCACAAGGAAGGGTACCTGCGATATAAATGCAGATATTTTGCTGTATAACCATGGGGCTATGCCCACCAAGTGAAAATTTCATTGTAGTCAGCTGAAGGGACCTCATACTCTTAGGAGCCCACATCCCACAGCACATGGTCACCCAAGAGAGCAGGCAGTGGCCGCAGCCAAAACATGGACAAAAATGTAGTGTGTGTGGAGGGAAAAGATAGGATGAGAAATCTACAGGAGGAGATCTGTGAAGCAGGGATGATAGCCTTATTACCCAGGGTCAAGGTGGACCAGCCGCAAGCAGAAGGAGGAGAAAGGGAATACAGCTTTATTCTCTGGCACTGCAGTCAGAGAATGTGATTTTCCTTTGTAGAGAGCCATGATGTACCTGTTGATGACCTTGCACTCTTCTGAATTTTTCTCTCCTTTTTCTGCCATGACTACTTCAGCATCTTGATCACCCCATCATAGTCAGGGGAAGTGGGACCATGCACAGCCAGAAGTGTATTACCTCCTGAAAGCAGGCTGAATGGCTCCTCTGCTTAGTCAAATGGAGCAAATGGGTGCAGAATAGTGCTCATGGTTCCAGCCCTCAGGTGGTCAGCTATGAGATATGTGACTGCAGCACGACCACAGGACTAGCATCCTCATTTGACAGTATTACCCATTCCAATTGTTCTGAGAGTTAAGAAGAAAAGAATTCCTGTAGCTTACTGTTTCTCCTACACTTGGAAATACTTTCCCCTCTTGGAGCTGATTTAGCACACTGGACTGCTTCTGCCAGGGCCAACACAGTGTGGTGAGAAGCAGGGAATGGAAAGAGGTTGTCTCCTCTTCTAGACGGATTCTAATTCTCCCTTGCTCTAGACATCCTTGGTAGCACCAAGGTTTTGGAGATCTCCAGTAGAAACCCAGTAGAAGAGATATAGGAATGTTTTACCTAGCCAATCCACATTCACATAGTTTACTGAGTATTAAAAACATTTTGGAAAATGCTATTCTGAGCCTCTTGATGCATTCAATACCTCAAAAATATATTTTTAGTGTTCTGGGGTCATGGAAACAACATCCTTTCCTTAAGCTTTTGGGTGTCCTGAATATTGTGGATCCATGCTGTGCAGAGAGCAAGCACAGATGGTGCTAGATACATCTCCATGGACCACCAGTCACCACGAGCTGCGCAGTCAGGGAGGTGAAGAATGAGTGGCTGATGGACTCCAATCATTTCTGCATGTCTGCTGTTGTCTTGCAGGTGTATAGCAAAAACTCAGGTCAGAATCCACCTCTTGGTGCCTGCCACTGTTGTTCTTCCAAGGAAACCTCTTTTAAACAGGTGTTTTCCCTTTCCCATCCTTAGAGAGACAACAGAAGAATTTCACTTACCTTGCTGGAAGAGTTGAAAACCAGTAACTTGTATTCTTGAATGCTCTTGCCATATTTCAGATAGGAGGTTGTCAGGGGAAAACCTGGTGCTGAAGATCCCGACTTGTGCTTTGGATTCTGTTCTGTTCTCTTCTTGACACCTCTATCTTCTTCTAGTTGTTTAAAGCAAGACATTCCCAGTGATGGATCAAAGAATGGGGACCAGGGCCTCCCTACTTCCAGGCTCAGTTTCCTGTCTACCAGGCAGACTACCCTAAAGGTTGGCAGCTAGGCTCCCCTCCAGACACTGGAATATGGGGGATTGAACATGCCATGGTAGGTAGACAACAAAATGCAGGTCTCTCCCTGGCACTCATCACTGTTATAAGCATCAATGATAGTATGGGCAGACTCCCAGTTGTTTTTTTGAATGAACTGTCTGTGACATTTGTGCTTTGAGCAGGAGTGAATGGCAATTTCTGGGTCCATCTCCTAGTCTGGGCCATTCGGTTCTTCCTTAGAAGATGAGCAAATACATAATCATGGCAAAATCTTGCTGACCTTTCCTGACTGTCCTTCTATCTTTCTCTCTGAAACTAGGCACAGAGGACAGTGCCACTTTTGCACTTTGCTGCTACTTGCTATGAGTGAATCAGTGACTGGATGCCTCCTCAGTGACCTTTTGAAGATCGTCTCTCTCCCACTGTCTCTGTAAACACCAAGTCCTTCTCTCCTCAAAGCAGGGAAAATGAGGATGAAAAGCAGCTGAGGATCCCAAGGACAAGTTACCCATCTCCTGTCTAAAACCAAAAGCTCGCCTTACTCTCTACATCTTTTGTGCATGACTCTACACTCTTCTTAGGCATAAGAATCTTCCTGTATGGGGTGGCTGGGGTGACCTCATTGCCCATTTCCTTTCCCTGGATGAGGGTGGCCTTTTACTTCTAGCTGCTTGCAGCTGACAGAATGCCTCCAGCACACTCTCTTCTTGCAAGCCTGCAGCTCCCTTGCTGGGAGGCAAGCAAGGGAAATCACACAGTCATAGTGTGAACATTTGAGAAACATTTATAGAAAAGGGACAGAAAAGAAAGTCAATATTAATAAATTACAGAAAGATAGAACATCTGCGCTAAATTATTGCAAACTCAAGTGAGAGTGGAAAGCTAAATAAATAAAGAGAAAATCATGTTAAAGAAGGAGATGAGTAATAGAAAAATTCTCCTTCAAAGTGCCACCAGTTAGCCTTTTTGTACAGCACTATATACAAACAAAACTAACGGAGACATAACAGGGGTCAGAAAGCTTGATGCAGCTGACTAACAGCTGTCAGCCCTGTTTATTCTGCTCCCTTCTAACTCTACATTATTTTATGGCTTGGCTAAGTGCAGTGCAAAGAGAGGAGTCCTGAAGGCTGAGTTTTCTTGCCCCATCAAAGTGGCCAATAGATGGACTAGATGAAGGCAGAGGTCCTGTGCAGGCAAGGATGATGAAGTAGGTACCTGCATTCAGCAGGGGTTTAGGGATGGTCTTGGAGAAACCACACAGCAGTAAAGAAATTTGAATGGCCAAGGAGCTCAGCAGCTCCTGGCCTGTGAAAGGAACACCTTTTTTTTTTGTTCTTCTAGTTATGTTGCCATATCTGCTCCCAGTTGGATGTAATGGGGCACAGAGGTGGAAGTATCCTTCCAGGCATGAGACTTGATGCCTCATATGTTGCCTTTATTCAGTGATGGCACTGAACAAGAAGTTCAAGTTGACATACGGACAAGTAGGAAAGCATCTCAAAATACAATAGACTGTTTCTCCCTGTCCTAAAGCAAGATCAACTGGACCATTCCTAATAAAGTTATTTGCTTATTGGTCCTAAAAACATTCTGAGATGGTTACTCCATACCTTCCTCAAGGACCCTACACTTGTTACTAGAAAAAATTTTTGAATGCCCAAATTACTTTTCTTGTAGCAAGGTAAACCCAAAGATTTGCTACGTCTGTACAATTAGAACACCAGATCCCCTTTTACTTTGCAATAGCCATCTACATGTTGAATGTAAGTCATCATTTCTCCTTCAGTCTTCCTTAAACAACCATGATTCTTTCTGTCTTTTATCATAAACTGCATTCTCTACATTTTGGGCAGTTCCTGCTCTTCATTTTTGCAGAAGTGCATCCTTAAGCTTAAGAAATAAAATTTTCATGAAGGCCTTCTGACTGACAAATAGAATGCAGTGCCACTTTTTATGGTGTGGAGGCTTGAATTCCTGTTTGCACAATTCCCTGTGATAATTTGCCTTTTCCACACCAGCCTGTCATTGCTGTTTCAGGTTCAGCTAACCCACAAATCCTTTTTTCCCAGAGACACCTTTCTAACCAAAATATCCTTCTGCATTTTTAGCATCATAAAATTTACTACGTGTGCAATCTCCAGAGTCTACCTGAACTTAATCCCTTGATCTTGCTCTGTCATCCCTTACACCTTTTTCAGACTATTTCTTCAACATGTTAAAATCATCTGGAGCCAGATGCTTTGTTGAGATGCATAGTAACACAACAGCTTTTCCTCTGTGTATAAAGTCTTGTTTTCCTAAATACTCCCAAGGCTGAGCTTTTCCTACTTAGCCTTAAACCTTAGCACTTTTCTCAGCTGTGCTAATTGCATCCTCACATTTGGCCATTTTAGATGCAATTAAAAAAGACATTAAACACTTTCATCTGCACATTGTAATCTCCCTATTATCTTCTCCATTCCTGGAGTAATGAGCTAACATTTTCCTCCATCTCCTTTTTAGTGAATGATTAAATTCTGTTACCTTCTGTGTCTCTTGCTAATTTAATTTTAATTTTCCAGACCTTGTTTTACATGACTATGTTCATACTCATCCTTGGACATCTGGTTTTGTTTCTTCTTGTTGTGGTTCCTTATTGTCTTTGAGACCAATGGAAAGAAGTCAGTGTTGTTTATTTCTAGTCTTTTCTCTGCATCTCCACTTCTGTGTTTAGTGTTGTTTCTTTGGGGAACTACTAACTCTCTTTAAGTCCTCTGTTTCTTGGCAGTTTCCCAAGCTTATTGAAGTCTGTCTGTCTGAAACTCATTGGGTTAGTTTTTTTCTCTTCTCCCGACTTGCCTCTCCAAGGACCATGAAATTTACCTTTTCACGGTAACTCCCATCCACGTTGCCTTCCACCTTCCCTTTCTTACACTGCTCTTCCCTTGTGCTGAGACTCAAACCTAGAGGATCTTTTTCCTCTAATTCCTTTCTGGGTCTTCTGAATACAAACAAAAGATGTGATAAAACTGTGCCATAAAGGGGCTGAAGAGTTTTTATGCTGCTGAATTCTGTTTGTTCAACAAATGTCTCTAACTGTAGCTAAAATATTCCACTTCCCACAAGACCTGTGCTTCAGATGTCTCTAATAGTTATTCTCAAAGAACCTTATACATATTATCTTCATAAATGGATGGCCTTTAACAGACTCCAGTAAACTCTGACAATGGTGTCCTATTTCCACCTTTACATACCTTCAGCAAGGCTAACTCCATCTGTCAGAACAAGCTTATACATACAATGCTCACAAAGTGATGCCTCTTATCTCTTTGCTGTCCATTCTTCTTGAACAAGCAGCATCCTTTTCTGTCAGCATTCCAGTCATACGAGTGATTCAGCCATATCTCTATGATTTCAGTGAGGTTGTAATCTGTGTTAAAACTCCAAGTTAGAATACAGAGAATGCTTATTAAATGCTGATTTCACTATGCTGCTTTCACTACTATACCAATATCTAAGACTGATGCATTATTCTCTCATTCCTTCTGTGGCATTGTGACAAAAAGCATTTTCCTTCTTAGTTTTAAGGTCTTCCTCTTCTCTAGTTTGCTGTGGTGTATGTGTGAGCACATACTGATCATGTGGTTTTTATTCCCTGCACGGTCTTTTTCCTGAAATATCATGTCATAGGTGAGAAAATGAGGGTTTTTGAGTCTCAACATTATTTTATTCTTTTTGTGGTTACTGGTGCTTAGGACACTAGTCTGAAGTTTTTCAAGCCAGCATTTGCTCTCAGGAATCATGAGTAGTGACTCTTTCTCTAAACCAGAAGAAGTTGCCTTAAAAATACATTTATCTCAGCTCAAGAATGAAATTTCAATGATCAGGATGAGTTGATGACATAAATGTACCACTAGGAATAAGTGAAGAGGTGGGGGAAAGTGCCTGTGTTACTAAGCAGAATTTAATCTATTTCCTACAGACTAGATAGACGGAGCTCTTTCCATTCCTTAAGTTGGAAGGGGTTGCAGCATGCCATACCAGCAGGAATGCTCACTTCATCTACATGCAAGTGTTTTTTCTAACCTCAGTGACCACACAGCCCAGACCTAAAGTTCTCAGCAATAACACAAATGGAGGGAATTGTCAGTCATGGGAATGCTTCAACACATTCTGCGTTGCCCAGAAATGTAAGAGACCATCTGGAATTAGTGTTGAATATTTTTGTTAATGACCTCATGATGGAATATTGAGAATGTTTATTAAATTTACAGATGACACCAGGCAGGGATTACTTGTGAGTCTGGTAGAGGACAGGATTAGAATTCAAAATGATCTTGCCCACACTGGATGGATGCTCTGAAAAAAAAAAAATAATGCAATTTGATGAAGACACACAATACATACACTTAGACAGGAATGATCATCAGCATAAGCCCATAATGACAATTTTTAGTAAGTTTGCACAAAAATGACTGGGAAGAATTTCAGCAGATCACAGAAGGAGTTGTAAAATGTGCAACTGTATCATACTCCTATGAAAATGTCAAATATTATCCTGGGATATATAAGTAGGAATAGATCTTGGATGATACATTCTACTTAGCACTGGGAGGGCCTCAGGGGCAGTACACGGTCCAGTTTTGGGCACTGCACTTCTGAAAAGATACAGAGTGTTTGGAGGAAGGCAGGGCAGGAGCAACACGGTAGTGCAGAAGACTGGTAAAATTGGAATTGGAGAAATGTGAAAGGAGGCTGTTTAACAGTGGAAGAGGCATGAAATAAACTTCAGATAAACAAAGCTTCTACAGAGAAGAAGGAAAGTACCTGTTGTCCCAGCCTGAGAACTCAAAGACATAAGTGCATCAGGAAAGATGCAGATCAGGCATTGCTAGGAAAACCTTCCTGCTGAAGAGTGTCACACTGAAAGGAGTTTTCTGGGAAAGAGGTCTCTGCTCTGGAAAGCCTAAAGACATGAATCTCCGCTTAAGGTGAATTGTTGGTACAGAAAGCTTTGGGCAGCTTCTCAAAGAGGTCTGGCTAGCTGAATACACAACTGTGGCCTATGAACCAGAAATAAAGGTAATATTGTAAATCAAGAAGCTTAAGGGAGTTATCCACTTGCATCCTGTCTTGAATCTAAGCAACCTTGAGCCATGTCCACTCTTAAAAAAAATCAGACATTGTTCCTACATGCTCAAAATGGGTACTCCAACTGCACTGGGATCCTGTTGTTCTCTGTCACTTGGAGATGTTTAACCATGTCCTGCTTGATGGCTCCTGACTGCCTCAGGTATGCCTGGGTGGAAGGCACCCACTGGGCTGCAGTTCACCAAGGGGTAATGCTACTCTGCCAGCAAGGCGTACCGCCAAGAAGGTCATGGTCTTGGGAATCAAGGGAGCAAGGAGTAGCCTGATCATCTTTAATTGAGTATGACCTGTATTTAGAGCACTGGTGATGCAGAGATGGTGTCCTTCCAAATGGAGTTTAGATTTGCCTGTCTTCCATTTATTTAAAGTTATTACCTCTGAATTGGTTCTGTTTGGCTTTCAGTGATGTTCCAAGTAAGTAATTTTAAACTCCTATGATTCACATTATGCCTGACAAATGGTGCCCACAATGGAAAATTCTAGGAGTTTCATGATGAAAACCATATTTAGTGTTAGTAGTATCCATATATAGTAGAGACTTATGGTAATAAAGTGAATGAAAAGCAATATGCTGGTAAAGATTGGAAATGAAATCTCTAGAGTGAGACTTTTTCATATGACATATGATTTAAAGGACATGCTAGAAATATTTTGGCGGGAGATCAAATACCACTGTTCTCCACATTTAGGTTTGATGTTTGATCTTTTCTCTTAGTCAGGTTCTAGAGAGAAAAACCACACACACACACACACACACACACAAACCCCTCTTCTGTTCATCTTCTGTTTTTTTACTTGCAGCTCCTCCTCCCGCTTCAGTGCAAGCCCCTCCCAGCTTCCACATCACCACGGGGTTATTAATCAGTTGTGATATCCACATGACCTCCAGTTTCTGCTCTCTTTGGTCCCTCTACTCCACTAGCTGAACTATTTCTAATTGGCTAATCAGCTTATCCGGTTTGGCTCTTGATGCAAACCAGGTCTAGACATGATCTATTCCTGGGAGGCCCCTGGGTTCAAGGGGCCAATCTCACACCCTGTCCATCACTATTGTCAGCACGGTACCCTATCTCAAAGACATGCCAATGAACATTAGTGAGAGATTAAAATGACAGCCTTGGTTTTCTTACATGCCTTTTAATCATCGTAACATGCAGTCTAATGTTTCACTCTGTCTTCCTTTCCCTGCAAGACCATGTTCTCAAGGAAGAAACCAGGAGGGATGAGAGCAGGTCAAAGACCACAGCAGGGTGAAAGCAGTGGAAAGGAATTAAAATGGAGGGTGGGGGAGGAGAAGGAGGAGAGAAGAGACAAAATCCAAGTCAGAATCTGGCAGCCAGACAGAGAGACAAGGCTAGAATTTAAATTCTTTCATGTGACTCCCACAGGCTGACATCTTATAGGTACTACTCATGCCACACAGGCATGCCACCAACATGTGCCAATGCTGGTGCCTACCACAGGCTGCCTGATATCCATAGCCACAGACATGAAAGGTGATTTTCACAAGTGCTGCACATTTCAACTAGTCCTGGGAAGAGCTGGGAGGCTTGGCTACTCTGGAAACCAAGCTGCCTTTATTGAAGTGCCTGCATATGGATTCAGTAGCTGACTTTTAGACCTTTGGGTTTCTGAAAAAGTCTCAACCTGGTCACTTAGCTGTAACTTTATGCAATTACCGGCCATTTAGACAAATGACAATCAGAGGGCTCCATGCAATAGGATCATGTCTGAATTCCTTCTTGGTCTCTCTGGTAGTGAATAGTTGGCGGCTCTTCTTAAACAAAGCCCCATTCTCTCTGCAAAGAAGTGTCAGTGTAAAAGGCGGATGGTCCCGTATGAATATCTGCTACACAGGCAGGCATAAAGAAGGTCTCCCATGCCCCAGTTGGAGAGCTGTGTGGCTGTGTTAACAGCATGCACAACCGAAGTTAATGACCTCACTTGTCCAAGACTTTCTTGTGCTCGGCCAGCTCTGAATGCAGACAGAGCAAGTTCACACCTGCCTGCAAAATACCATATGGACATCATCCGTAACAAACTTGCTCAGATGGTTCATTTCTAAGGGGCATTCAAACTTTTCCTAGATGTATGTGTGTTTTTTCCTCTCTCAGTTATGCTTTGACTTAAAATTTTAGCTAGAGGAATATCGCCTCCTTAGCTTTTCAGCTCCTTGGTCCAAAACTATTTGGCTGGTGGGATGTGTGAATTCCTTTAGCCAACCAGTGGAGCATGTAATTAGCTCTATATGCACGAATGAATTACGCATATGTTTTGCTATGTGGCTTCAGCTGGTAACTAAGTAGGAGAAGTTTCCAGCTAGAAAAGGAAACCAGTGAGAAAGGAAAGGCTGTGAAGTGGGCAGTGCACAGGACATGTCTGGTTTTTCTTTCTCCCTTTCTGCTACATACCTGATTCTGCCTGCATCCTCATTTTTTGGGCTGTACTTTCCATGGAATACATGTTCTTCAGAGGATGCTGGGAGCATACTGCAGGACATGCTCTGTTTTCAGTGCATCACATTCTGTTTTCACTCAGCACTGACTCTGGATGACTTTTCCTGATCCAGTAAAGATTAAGTTTGCCCAGCTGCAGAGGTTAGCATGAGTCCTGCTCACCCATCCCAGCCTGTCTGAGCAGGAGACAGAACCAGAGCCTTGCAATCACACACCTGTCCAGCTTATGAAGTTACTGTCTCTTGGCTGAGATGAGGTGTGCGGCTCTGTGTGTGTGTTGCTGAGGCTCTCGCAATACAAAGTCAAATGAGTTTGCTTGAACCACTTCACAGTCCAGCTACATCATGTACTTGCAGATAGAGCTTACTGAGAAGGCAGCTGTCTTACTGAAGAGTTGCACTACTTTGCTCCTTTTTGTCATCTGTTTAGCAATTCTTTAAGGATGTGAACTTTAAAGCAGGTCAGAGTTGAGGGAAATTTCATATTTGTCAGCTTTTTCTCAGTCTTTTAGTGCAGTACTCAGTTCATGTTGAGTTGGCCTTCTCTGAACAAGGGGAATGTAACCCTGCTGGTAGCATCATTATATTATTTATATAGCAAGTTACAGTGCAGAGTTCAGACTCTTTTTTTACATTTCTGGGTGGAAAAAAAAATGATTAGAATGTTTTACATAAGCACAATTTACCCTGTCCATTTCAATACTAAATTTTTGTAATCCATCCTGGCATGTTAGAGTGATTATTTCTTAATATAAATAATAACCTAATACACAGACTTTCCTCCTGTTGAAATCCATCCTGCTTTTTAAAACAATACCATGCCCAGATGGAGTAGGATGGATAGAAACTAATATTTTCAAAGAGAGGATCTTTTAGTACACTATCAGATTTCACTCAATTTCGTGGTGAGAGAAAAGCAGAAGTTGATTCAATGTAAATGCTGTCATCTTTCACTGTTGTTGTACCAAACCGAGGCATCCAAGGCCCAAACCAATGTTAGCCCAAGTCAGCAGAAGTCTTTGCACCACCTCTCTGGTTCTCAGGCATCCAAATGAAAGCTATCCAGCTAGGCAGCACAGTCAGAGCCTCTGCCTCTGACCTCCTTCTGATATTGCACACCAGGCCACAGATTTTGCAGATGGGGAAAGGCTGAACAGCAAGCCTTTCAGCCTCTTATAGATGTGGTTAAATTGTCTTAATGTATTTAAACGAAGTGCAATGTCAAAGTAGCATAAATACCATATTTCAGCAAAATGGCTGCTTCTCCAGTGTTCTGCTTGCTGATGCCAAATGAAATACTTCTCATTGTTTATTAACAAAATTCCTTCTTGCCCACTGAATTTTCATATTCCTGGGCTGGGCCAAATAATCAGTTTCCTTTTAAAATCAAAAAACCATTAGTGCATTCCAATAGGCTTTTCATGTTACATTAAAAACCCTTGGGAGTGCAACGTGATTAGCCTATTTCGGTTTTAATTACTGATGATTGGAGCCTACCTGAAAGGCACACAACAGCCAGCCATGCACACCAAGACATTTATGGAGCAGCTAAAGGAGGAGGCTTGAAATGTGTGATAGCCATTTGGTATATTAGTAGTATTTCCAGCCTTTTTAAAAAGAATGCCCTATGTGCTAAGAAACACACCTGCATCACTTCAGAGATTAATGTGCAATTTCTTGGCAGTACATGTGGACATTTCAGTTGTCCATTAGGACGATATAAAAGCAGAAGAGAATTTTTTTTTATCAGCTTTAACTGAACAGTAATCTCTTTTCCTTAAAGTAACCTAGGTGTCTTGGGAAACTTACAAGCCTCCATGAATGCCTGAACAAAAAGTAAAAAAATGACAGAGGCCCCCAAAAGTATAAATCCTCCTCTATCCTCCTCCATTAGTCAAGTCTCTTCTGTGAATGAGTTAACTTAAAAAAATCATATTACTAAGTATTTTATCAAAGCAAACATTTAATCAAAGTGAAAGGAAGAGATACTAGTCCCCTTCTGGAATGGGATGGAGACTGCCAAGATGTGTTTTAATTTCTTAAGAAAACAAACTATGTTAAACAATGTGTTTTAAGCAAGCAGATGCTCATTTATCATTCGTTTTGTCTGTGCATGCGCTTGCGATCCTGCTGAACACAAGTTTTATGAAATGGAAATGACCACATGGCCAATACCTCAAAAATTAATTCAACATGCCCTGCCTCTCGCATGCAACACATCCTTTTAATGGTGTTTTCTTCTTGTTTTTCAGCATTGGACAATGGAAACAGAACAACTGCCATCGTGGGAGTTTGATTTATTGCAGAGACAAACTATGACTGATGCCGTATGCTATGAGCGGAGTTTGGATACTTTGCAAAGGCTGTGCTTTCACGGCCCCACTTCTTTTAGAGGTTATCTCACATTAAAAAAAAAAAAAAAAAAAGAAAAAAGAAAGAGAAAGAGAAAAAGCTTTGCTACTGTTTTAACCCTGGTCTTGCTGCAGACTTCCTAACTGGGGTCCTAGACCATGTGAGAGGGCCTACAAGAAGTGACCTGCAGCTGCCTCAGAACCATGCTGAAGTGCTCTAGGCTGAGTGTTTGGGGTGCCAGAGATGTCCAGGGATAACAGCCGTTCATGCACGCACCAGGTTTTCTCCTCATACATCACAAAACAGCTAAAGGTTGGCTAAGGAAAACATGAGCAAGCAAAATAGAGTAGCATTATAAGCTCAAACTCCTAGTTTGCAGGTACAGTTGCCACAGTCACTGGAGATTTACATGGTAAGGGCCAGACTGATTTCAGACTGGTTGTCTGTGAGCAAAATTAAAGTAAGTGCAATTATGACCATGGGTCCTGATGCAGAAAAAAGACTCATTCAGTTGAACACAACTAATGGCTACCCATGTCATTGGAGACCATAGCTTTCACCTTCCTCGTAATGACTCAAGTGGCAGCCATGAACCTGAAGCATAGCCCAGTGACATCATTTATAGTTACCCACCTTGTCTTAGTCAGGACAGTATGTTTCCCTAGTCAGCAGAGTATAACTTGTTCATTTTTTTATATCATCCCTGTCATGCCCACTCTGCTGCTTTGTTCCTCTGCTAGTGATCACAACTCACCTGCTTGTCAGCAGAGCTGCCCTAAAGCTCTACAAGCAAGAAGTGACACTGGCTGATGATGAATGCTATCAGCATATCATCACAGTGACTGACATCTTTGACACTTCATAAACCCATACTTTAAACAGTCAGGTATGAGGAGAATCATTTGCTGACCTGTGCTGATGAAAACAGCAATAGCAGAAGCATGTTAAGTCTGCATACACAGCTAACAGTTTTGATGGTCTATATTATTAGATGCCACAATAATAATTAACTATAAATACCATGCACCCTGCATGTGACATAGCTACTCACCTGGACTTGAACCTTGAGTTAAGGGCAGCGAGGATGACAGAAGCGAGAAAGGAACAGTGCCTGTGTTTCAGCTCGCCCCTTGCCTGCTTCCAGAGAAGGTGAGCCTCAGTTTCTTCAGATCCGAGTATCTGAAGAAATACTTGCTATCTGGAATATTCCCAGTCTACCAGGGAAGTAATCAGACATTTGTCTTCCCAACAGCATTGAAAACCCCCACTGTGGCTGCCCACAAATAGAGACATTAGTCATAATACTAGGGGATAGGGGAATAGACTATTTCATTTGGAAGGGACCTGCAATGATCATCTAGTTCAACTGCGTGACTAATTCAGGGCGAAACAAGTTAAACCATGTTAGGGGCATTGCTTAATTGCTTCTTAAATGGCATTGACCACCTCACTAGAAAGCCTGTTCAGTATTTGAGCACCCTCTCAGTAACAAAATGCTTCCTAATGTCCAGTCTAAACCTCCCCCGATGCAGTTCTGAACCATTCCTATCAGTGGATCCCAGGGAGAAGAGCTCAGCATCTCCCTTTCCACTTCCCCTCCTCAGAGAGCTGTAGAGAGCAAAGAGGTCACCCTTCAAACTTCTTTTCTACAAACTAGACAAGTCCTCATTGGGCATTCCTTATAGCCCTTTCACCGGCTTTGTTGCCCTTCTCTGAATCCAGTGACCTTCACATCCTTCTTAATCTGTGGGGCCCAGAACTGCACACAGTATTCAAGGTGAGACTGCACCAACACTGCATACAGCAGAATAATCAGCTCTTTGGACCTGCTGGTTGTGCTCTGTTTGATGTGCCCCAGGAACGTTGTGCCCTCTTGGCTGCCAGGGCTCACTGCTGACTCACAGTGAGTCTGCTGCTGAGCAGCACCCCCAGAACCCTCCCTTCAAGCCACTCCTATCCCAATTTATACTTGTGCTCAGCATTACTCTGGATTAGGTAAATTTCATCCTATTTATCATAGCCCAATGCTCCAGTCTACCTAGATCCCTCTCAAGGCCTTCTGTCCCTCAAGAGAGTGAACACCACCTCTCAGTTTGGTATCATCAGCAAACTTGCTAATGATGCATTCAAATTCTGTATATTGGACCTGATAGTGTCCTTTGCAAATAAATGCAAACTCATAATTTTGATTTCAGTTTTATATTTGATTAACCATTGTAATTTTAGAAAACAATTCATTGAGGTGTGGCCACATGTCACATCTCAATGAAAGCCTTTTGAACTGCAACCTTCTCTAAGGAAATTGGTTTTATGCTTTGAATTTCCTCCAAATCACATTCATGTCTGATTTTTTTTTTCCTGGTAATATCATCTTAGTGTCAGCACTCAGGAAGGTTAACTAATGACAGGGATGAAAAGTCCTTAGAAAGACAGGCTCTGTTTGGTGCTGATTGCTAAGAAATCATTCCTAATGTCTTCATCTCTGCCTTTTCTTGCTTTTTGTGATAGTTACTCTGTTTGGTAACTGCCTACTCTACTCTTCAGAAAGGAACTTATTTTTCAGCCAAAGGAGAATAGACCTTGGAAAAAGTCTGGAGGTGTCAAAACTGACAGCCAAACCTCACCAACACTCATAGGAGGAAATCCAGATATATCCAAGGGAGAGCTCATTCACAGAACAACCAAGATGGATTTGTGGAGAAGTATTTTAATAATATTAGCAACTAGTTTTTGTTTCAAAAGTCAGTATCCAGTGTGTGCATAGATGGTAAATATTTATTTTAAATAATAATATTTTCAACATGGAGCTGGTCCATTGAGCAAAGTCCTATTCAATATGTTCATAAGTCAGTGAATGAGCTGAGAAGGGGCTCCAGGTTTCCTACTAGCCTCCTATCGACTTCTGTGCATGTCAGGCTGATATGGTTTGAAGCTGGCTCCCTGTCAAGTCTCCAAACCTTACCACAAGAAGTCCCCCTGCCCCCCCCCAAACCTCAGGGAGAAGAGGGAAAAAAACAACCAAGAAAACCAAAACAAGAGAGACAGCTAAAGCAATATATATAAATATATTTACACTTATGTTATAGTTATATACAATTGAAATATATACAATTTCACAAGGGAAAGGGAAGGGGGAAAGGAAAAGGAACAAAACCAAAATAAAATATATATATGTCCTGATTAGTAGCCCAATATCTAGCAACTAAAAGAACTGGCAAAAAAACTATCTTACTACTCTCCTTGGGACAACGGAGAGTCGCGCTGGAATGATCGCCGGCAACCTCCACCTCCCAAGGTCGACAAGGCCTTACCAGGCCTCGCTCCCCAACACGACAGACTCAACAGCAGGGGGGAACCTGCACCTCCAAGCCGCCGGAAGGAAAAAGAGAGCGAAGGCCTCTCCTCCTTTCTTCTTATAACCTGGCTTACGTAAAAATCGTAGGGAATACTGGGTAAATCTAGACCCTTCCTTGGTTACAAACTGGTCACCAAGGAAGGCCCAGACCAAACTACCACACAGGCCATGCACTCCACCTGGGCAGGTTGCCATTTCTCTCCCAAGAAAGAGGTGACTCCTACCTGCACTACATTACATAAACAAGTCACCCGACTTCACTGCTGAGGAGACATCTGTAGGATCAAGATCACACTCCATCTCCAACCCTCTGATTGCCTACTTTGTTCATAGTCTGGCTCACACTTAGGCTGAGGCCATTGATCTACAGGCCAGGGATAAACAGGCACAAAAGAGAGTGCTGACCAGGACTTGGATACTGCCCCCACAGGCATTGTGGGTCCCAGCAGGCTGGGCCATGCCCTGCGCTGAATGCTCTTGCACAGCAGTGGGTCCCATTAGCACTGTAATAAGCCATAGGCTGAGCTTTAAAATGACTATACAGAGAAGACCCGGGAGACAAACTTGGCTTACATGTTAGTTTATAAGAGTTTGGCCATCTTCTACTGTCATGTCTGAGAGTATTTCCTCAGAAAATTTTATTTTTTCCTTATCTCATGATTTGCTGTTTGTTTGTTTAAGGTTCCTGAAGCACAGTCCAAGCAGGTTGAACCTTGTGACTTGTGGCTGACTGAATAGTGCTTTGCAAACAAATGTGCCATGACCACAAACTAAAAACAGTGGGTTTCAGTCCCAGGGAGATGGCCTTTTGCAAGTCTAGTACCTCGCATAGTGGAGTCCATGTCTGCACACATCCAAAGTCCACTTCTGGAGAGGCAAGCTGGCCTTCAGATTGACACCCCAGCTGCCTGCTAACCTTCAGCCTTCCACAGCTACATCATCCCTGCAACATGAACAGTCCCCTGTCTTGTGGTTCAGTGAAAAGGCAAACATGAACCATGGGGAAGAAATTACTACTCTGTTTTGGTTGTCCTTTCTGGCATCTGGTGGTATTCCCACCATGTCCCCTTGAAAGTCCTGATCGTTCTTTTAAGACTGCCTCCGTGCTGATAATTCAGTACAACAGCAGCACCTGTTATCCCAGCCTCCTCCTGCAGTGCTGGCTGCCTTGGGCTTGTACAGCAGGTACCTCCTGCCTCTGCATCCCATTCTGCCTCACAGGAAAGGTATGGTCGGATGTCTCTGCTGGTCAATGAGTGCATTTAGCATACCAACTCATGCTCGGTTCCCTGTACCTTTTCTGTGGCTATTTTACCTATTTGGTCTCTGGGTACAGCCCATGATGCAAAGCCTGGAGTATCCCTCTGCTGAAGGACTGTCCCTAGTCGTGGCAAAACACACAGATTGTCTAAGTCAGATGGTGTCTTTCAGAGACCTTCCTTCTAAGACTTTCTGTGCAGTGCTGCTCTTGTGCTGACCTCTGTCATCAGTACACCTGCTCAGGAGGGCTCACAGGCCCTCCTGGCTGCAGCACAGTGACATGAATTCTCTCTTGGTATTGTTTTCTGTACTGCAGCCTCAGATTTTTAACTTCCTGGTGGTACAGGAGAAGAAGAGCATAAGACAGAAAGATCAGGAGCCAGCAGTTTTAAACCGCCCTCTCTCCTGAATGTATCTGGCTTTTAAGAGAAAATTTCTATCTCAGAAGCCATACTTATCTTATTTTACCCTCTTAAATAACTCAGCAACAATTCCTAGCCTTTCAAAAAGTGATAGGGATGAATGTAAATGTTTGTGCCTCCCAGTGTGCATGTCCTCGATGTTGTCCATGCACCCCCCAACTTGCAGTTGTCTTGAGGCAGCAACAACTATGTGACTGAGTTTGAGCCAATTATTTCAAAGGTTAACCCCTGAGGATTTTAACACCTTGACAAATCAACAGTGGTGAAGATGCTCGATGTGCACTTTGGCTTCACAAGACTACAGTCATGTCACTGTTACTAGAACAGATGTTGAGACACATTTTATATATATATAAATTTATTTTTAGTAAATTATATAAATGCACATATGCCAAATATAAGTGAATTATTATTGTTATTATTATTATTATTATTATTCCTTTCTTAACACCTCAATTAGCCTATTTTTCAAAAGTCCTCTGACATCTGAAAGGTTGGCTTCTCAGCTCCATCTGTCCCATGCATGCTCCCTAAAGCGGGGAATGCAAATTATCAGCCCCATGGGGGCTGTAAAACCTAAATGCTTTAGGCAACCCAGAAGTCCTTTGCTCTATCATCCACCCTGACAGTGAGAGGCAATGGCCCTGTGAAAGGCTTACCTTGCTCCCAGCTAATTCTTTTTCTCACCTGGAGAAGGGAGGTCTAAGAGCAAATACCTTGGGGTTTCTAGTTTCTGGACAGAAAGGGAACTTGTTCGTGTCTTTTGGTGTTGGTGTACAGTTTGTTGGTTTGGGAAGTTTGTCTTTGCGTAGACTACAAACCCTGATTAATGTGATGTTGTTGCTATGGCCATTGCTCTATCCTGCAATGTTTTCTGTTTCTGTCTTTGCTGACAAGGCCTTTAGCACCAGTCTAAGGGCAACTAGTAATAACAGGGAGAAACAGAGTCATAATGACCGTCCTCTGAGCAAACAATTGATATGCTAATGACGTTGGTGGGAACGCAGCTCCTATCTACAAAGACAGGGACTGGAGAATGAAAATAAGACAGGGCAAAGAACAGAGGGGATTAAAAAAAATGAAGAATAATCTTGTGGGATTTTTCCAAGGACCTAGAATAATCTTTGTGGAGGAAAGGGAAGGATCCAGTGTGATTTGTACTGGGAGCAAGTCTGGTTTATCAGCTGAGTTAGCAGAGGAACTGACTCAAATTTAATATTACTCCACCATAGAGAGGATATGGAAGTAAAGAAATCTATGTAGAGTTTTTTTATTTGAATTTTATCTTCTGTGCACTTCTGGTACTGAGTAAACAGCTAAGTTCTGTTCCAGAATCCCATCTCAACCCAAAGGCATGTTGCCTTTTCAAACCACCAATTATGTGCTCTAAACAGGTACAAAGGAGGACCAGATCTCCCAGGTACCTGTGGTCCTGAAGAATGGGGTGTTTTGAAAGTGGTGGCTGGAATGCAAAGCACTTGTGTTTGAGGCTTCACCTCTCAAAAGAACAGCAAGCAAAGTCAGTGCCCTAGATGTGTTTCATGACAGGTCATGGAGAAAAGGGAATTGCAGACTTCCACAATGTGTCAGGCCCATGGGAACAGTTATGTGAATGCCTAAAGAGGAGATCTGCTCCAGCCAAGTCATGAGCAGTTGCATTTCACACTCATTCTTTTCTTATTTGCCACCAAAAATAATCTGTGATTGAACCAGCCATATTATTTTAGAAAAAAATGCATTGTCAACCAAAGACTTCAAATAATGGAAAATCTGGAAATCTCTTGTGACTCTGTTCCAGTACTAGCACCCTCATGATTACAGACTTATTTCTGCCCTCAATTTTTTGAACTTCAGCTTCCACATTTCAGAATAAAGAACTGCTCTATCTAGATACTTTTTTGTGTAGACACTTTTTAAACCCAACCAAGTTGTCTCTTAGCTGTCTCTTTGATCAGCTAAATAGATAGAATTTCTTAAATCTCTCTTTGTAGGGTGCAATTTTCTCACCAAGAACCATTTTCATTCAGTCTAGGATTTGAGCTGAACAAAGTTGAGGAAAAAACTTTGGCCAGACTCTGTTTTGAGAAAACTTAGGAGATAGATGTTAGTATCTGATTACATTTGGTGTTAATACTAACTTGATTATGCAGCAATAAATTCTGCAGCTTGTATTGTTTTGCAATGACAAAAACCTGAATCATCCATTACACTTCTCTGTGAACTTCTTCCCTTTGAAATTATTATAACAAGCATGATTATATTGCATCAGTATAAATCAACAGTGATGCCCTGTCCTGGTTACAATATATTGACGTTTTATTCACAACATCATGAGGTTCTTTTCAGGCATTTTCAAAAGTATAAATCTCCCTTTCAGGGTGCTCAGTAGCAAAATTAGCATTTGCTTTTTGTCCCTGTGTTACAATTTTTTCATGGTTGTCAGTCCAAGTATTTGGCCTTCAGAGCTGTCTGAGGGAAAGCATAAATCAGATATATAAAAATCCAGTATATAAAATTGTGAGTTCTCTCACAAGAAAGAAAAAAGTTCCTTTTTGCAAGTGTAAAAGTGAAGGTGAATCTCTGTTTAAAAGTGTGGTCACTGCTTTTTCACTTCAGAAAACTTTGCAGCATTATGTTACTACAGTGAGAAAATTGTTATAGGTCAGCTAAAGGCCAGTAAATTGTAACATGCTCTTGAATCTCCCATAGAAGAAATCATGATCTCATGATGGAAATGTTCTCTGGGCTATATTATTACTGCAACTTGTCCTCTAAGAACGAGGGCAGAAGCTCGTAATGGATATGGTGCCGGCACAGTTACACATGAGCATACTCTCCTATCCACATTCCTCTGCACCACTTCTCCTCCCACAGAAAGGTCAATGACAGAGAGGTGAGAGGATTTACATACACAGTGCCCTAGAAAGAAGTACTTCTAGCTAGGTTGGACCTGGGCTGTAAACAGTCCCACTTATTTCAGCTAAACATTATTAGGGTCATAAAATGTCTCAAGATTCATGCAAACTTCATGCCAACTTGGCTGCAGCCCAGGTTTATCTGCTGTAAAAGCCTCCTGAGAACAGTTGGGGAGCTTGGGAGAACCCTGAGTCAGTTGCTTTGGGAGGCTTTGTGTCTGTTTTTGGCAGGCCAGCTTTCTGTGGGATGAAAGCACTGCAAAAAGAAAAGGAGGTCTTACAGCATCTTGAGACCCTCTGTGCCTGTAAGTGACATCTCCAAGTCAATGGTTGGGGCATCCTGGTTTTCAGGTTCATCTGAAAGTACAGGTGTACTGCTTTGGAAAACAACTGAGACTGTGGTGTTGTGAGGTGAGGTTTTGCAGTGCTGCTGGTTTCCATGCTCCAGTGTACAAGGTTGGCCCAGTAATGCTCAGAAATTATTTATTATGCAGGTTTTCTTTTCAAGGCAGTGGCCTTTCCTTCTCAGGAAGGTAACAGCTTGTTCCTCTCTCTTTGTAAAATCACTGACTGCCACATTTAACTAGTGGTTGGGCTCAGTGCTTGTCCTACTTTTCCCCATCCAGTGGCAGGGCATGGGTATGGGGGGAGGTTCAACAGGGTAACCCAAGGCTACAGTTGCAGCCTGGGGATGGGTTTGGGATGATGGGGGCATCCCACCTGGCTCAATGCAAGGCATACCAGGCGTACTGGTGATGCCAGTTGTGATAAAGCTGGAGGGGTGAGGGATGATGGAGCCAGGAGTGCCAGTGAGCTCCCGCACACCTCTGAGGTCATCAGCTCTGACCAGGGCATGCTGTAGTATAGGGAGAGAGGGGAGGCCCTCCCAGGCCCAGGAAAGGGCTGTGCTCCAGTGGCAGGAGAGTAATAGGCTGCAGCAGCCTGGCGCTGCCTGATTACCTTACAGTGACATGATGACATGCTTTCCAGTTCCAGGGGACATCTTCCCAAAAGAGATTTTGTATGCTAATCCCTCCTTCCCCCAATGGCCAGGCCTGAGGCTACCAGCTGCCTGAGCTGCCAAGTTCCCAGCAGGAGTACCCTCTGGTGCGCTGATAAGAGAGGATAAAAGCCACTCTACCCAAGCTCCCTTGGCTGGGGTGGATTCTCCCCAGAGCCCTTTGCAGCCAGCCCCCCACTGGGCGCTCCTCCCCACCCTGGGAGGGTGATGCAATCACCCAGTCACCCAGTGGGGATGGTGCCTTCGTCCAGGCAAGCCTGGACCACCACTCCACAGATGGGGTCACCTGAGACCCTGGGGAGAAGGGAGAGGATTCCATAGCTCACCACGCCTGTCTTGGTGACTCTGTCAGCATCTGTCTCCTTTGCTGTGCTGGTCAGCCTGTGAAGCAAAACTGGGCATGCCAGTGATGGACAAGGCTCTTCAAGAGATTACCACTGCCTGAAATACAGGCAGCTCTTTACTCCAAAACTCAGCAAGCAGAAGAGGGTCTGCTCTCTCCCATGGTGGTCTCTGAAGCTACCCATGACCCCTGGGGCTGGTAAAAATATATCCCACCAGTCAGAGCACCCTGAAGGTTTGCTCAGCTGTGCTAACAGAAGCCTCCTCTTGGAGCTAGGAATGGCTGGAGTAGACCACAGACCTTGTCATGGACATAAGAGCAGTAATATACAGCTCTTTTGTTGATACTCCTGTCCCATGGGGAATTCACCAGTGACCAAAGACTTGGGCATATAAGATCCTCTGCTTTGCTGCAAAAGATCTGAAATACAGTCAAGTTTCGGACTCCTAGTGTTTTGATTGGCTTTGCTGTCGTGCCTTCAGAGACAACTCTTTTAATTTACATTGCACCAAGCACTCCCAGTCAACCCCGAATTGTGTGGGACCTGCTGCTCCAGCTGGATCCCTACAAATCTACCTGATGGGATTCATCCCAGAATCCTCAAAGAGCTAGTTCGTGTCACTGCACGACCTCTCTCGATGATTTTTTTAGCAGTCTTGGGCAACCAGAGAGGTCCCAGCTGACTGGAAGCTGGTGAAGGTTGTCCCAGTTTTCAAGAAGGGCAAGCAGGAGGATCCTGGAAACTACAGGCCTGTCAGTCTCACTTCAGTTCCTGGTAAAGTTATGGAGAAGATTATTCTGGGAGGTACTGAAAAACACCTGAAAGACAATGCAGTCATTGGTTACAGCCAGCACGGCTTCATGAGAAGAAAGTCCTGCTTATCAAACCTGATTTCCTTTCATGACAAGGTAATCCACCTAGCTGATCAAGGGAAGCCAGCTGATGTAATCTTTTTGGATTTCAGTAAAGCTTTTGATATTCTCTCACAGGATCCTTCTGGACAAAATGTCCAGCACACAGCTGGATAAACACATCATGTGGTGGGTGAGCAGTTGGCTCATGAGTTGAGCACAGAGGGTAATAGTAAATGGGGTGACATCAGACTGACGACTTGTCACTAATGGGCTTCCACAGGGCTCCATCTTAGGCCTGTGCTCTTCAACATCTTCATAAATGACTCAGACATGGGACTGGAAGGGGTACTAAGTTTGCAATTGATACAACATTGGGAGGAGCTGTTGACTCACTCAAAGGAAAGGAGGCCCTCTAGAGAGACCTTATCAAAAACGAGGGTTGGCCAATCACCAACCATATGAAGTTCAAGAAGGGGAAGTGCCAGATTCTGCACCTGGGATGGGGCAACCCTGGAGTACGGACAGACTGGGGAAAGAAATGCTGGAACACAGTGCCACAGAAAGGAATCTGGGGGTCTTGGTCGATGCCAAGTTGAACATGAGTCAGCAGTGCCCTGGCAGCCAGGAGGGCCAACCATGTCCTGGGGGGCATCAGGCAAAGCATCACAAGCTGGTTGAGGGAGGGGATTGTCCCACTCTGCTCTGCACTGGGGCAGCCTCACCTTGAATATTGTGTGCAGTTTTGGGCACCACAATATAAGAACAATATTAAGCTCT